TACTGTACATACTATTCTCACCAAACTGTGATAACTGTGATTAAATTCAGTGTAAACAAATGCCATATGTTGCCACCCCTACAAAAATTCCTGCCCCTCTCTCGCCACCCCATAAATATTTTTCTAGATCCGCCCCTGCCCCCTGGTCAATCTTTCTTTTTTTCACAGTCTAACAACTTAAACAAGTGATATAAATTTATGAATATGAATTAATCAATGAACAATTCAAGACAAAAAAATTCTGATTTGTCTACGGCTGCTCACGTCCATAATACACTTTGCGACGGCGTTGCACTGACATTCCCTCCTGACGAGCACGTCACGTTAATAAAAATATCACAACAAAGGATGCATCCGTCTGGTGCTGAAAAAGAAAAAACTAAAAGCACAGAGGAGGAGAAAACAGAGCAAGATAAAGGTATGTTTGCATGATTATTCACGGTATGTTTTGTGCAGCAGCAGCACAAATTCCACCTCACTGGAGCTAACAGCTAGCTCGTCATGACTCAGGTCGTGATATTTATCAGCCATCCATCACCAGAGTGAAATCCAGGGAAATGTTTCCCGTTATACTGTGTATTTTTTATTTTTCATTGCTGATATAAGAGGATGGATGATGGCTGATAGCAGGACACACAAATTAAGACGTCCTGCGAAAATGAGTGTTAACTTTCCGGTAAATCCTGTTCTAATGTAAAATATGACAGATTACTGGATTACGGACATTTCCAGTATATGACATCACACATAATATTTGAGAATTTGTTATGTGTTCCCCTCTTAGGGGCCCATGGCCTCTTAGGGGCCCCGTCACTAGTCTGTGATCCATGCTTCCCAGACTAAGCGCTCTGTAGATCCGGGTCCTTCCAAAGGATGCGGCTGCAGAGTCTGGACATCAGGTAAACGTGCCGCCATCATAGCCTTCTGATGATGGTAGCTTCATCTGTCCTCCTCACTGCTGCAGCATTCTGGTTTATTTGGAATATTTTAGGTTTCTAAAGCAGATTGACATGTTGTTAAATTAAAGGACGACTCACCCCCAAATCCCCTTTTTATTATAATAAATTGTATTAAAGGATGCGTTGTGCGTGGGGATGGGCCTATGGGGCTGATCGTTGCTGGGCTCCCCTCTCGTCTCATCCAGATGTGGAAGCAGATTCTAGGAGTTATTCTAGATCTTCTGTCTCTATTTTCTCTCTTGTCATGGACTCTTTCCTCTCTCCATCTCTCTCCTTAGTTATTATCCCATCTTTATCACATCCCTTTCCATTTCCATCTCCTCTGTATATGATTTTACTCCCTAAATAATTTTTTTCTTTAAACAAATTTTTTTTAACCATTTTAGTAATTTTACATAACATTTCCTGACAGAAACTCAAGTAGTAGACGTCACAACAAAATACCAGAAAGTATGACAGCAGGCAGAGCAGGTGACATCTATAATCTGTAACCTGTGACCAAGCAGGAACTGTTTTGAAGTATAGGCGCTCACTCATCGGTGCTCCACTCATTGTTTGGAACTTCATATGGATCCAGATTATTAATAATGCTGATTCTGTCACCATACCGGTCCCTGGCTTCTCTATTTAATGCGTCCCGGTAAATTCCAGATCCTTTTCTGGATTTTAACATCTTTTTTCTCTCTACTTCTACGTCTCTTCTTTCAACAACAACGTTGTATCAGAGCTATGTTTACGTTAGCGTAGCCGTCAATATGGCCGCCACGTCCCACAATGCAACGCGGATCCTGAGCCCTATAGCTTCCAGGTCATGTGACCCACTGACTCTAATTCTTTGTGAAACTGTTTTACTACATTAGCCTGATGAGGCAGACTCATTTTTATTCCAATTTAGGCCTTTGTTGTTTTTTAAACATTTTTTATTTAGTTTATTTCATTACTGATTAACGCTATATTCATTTAATCACAGCGAACGTATCAGTTTTAGGGATAAACTTTTCCTTAAATGACCCTAAAAAACA